TAACCAGTAATTGAACAAAAGCTATTAGAGCTTTTTTACAGCGATCACCAGTCACACGCGACCCTCGGAGCAAAAAGTCTAGACGAAAAGTTGTGTTTTAGGTGGACGTCAATCAACTCCGTCTCTGCGCTCCTGAAACACTTTTGAGCACCCGGTTGTATCCATCCTCGAGAATATTTGAATCCTGTGTTAAAACTCGCGTTTAAGTGTTGATTTCTGTATACCAAACAACATTGGAAAATAATTTAGTGCGTGTTTAATATTTTGTGGTCATTCATGCATGCGAATGGCGGTTGAGAACGGCCCGACAAAATTCCTCTGCTCATCAAAAATTCGATGGATCGGAAAATAGGAAATTCTGCTGTATTTATTGAGCGATTTATACCAGTCCAACTTACCAGATTTTAGTGGACTTCAAAAAGCTACAGTTGCATTTTTACTGTAATGTTTGCTGTGTGATCCGGTTTGTGGCATGTTTTGCGGGAATATAATTAGCATAATTACCGTATCCAAATTCGGCATTGGCCCATCAGAAGCTCTGTCCACTGACCCGATATCCTACGTTATAATCGCCATCAAAATTTTTTCTCGCGCGCGATTGGTCTAAACACGTCACGTGACGTAGCCAAAACTGGAGAATATCCGGGTGATATTCCCCAAGAGATATTCCCCAGTTTTTGAAAATTTGCGTTTCACGTTCGCAGGTTCAGTAAGCAACATGACGTATTGGCTGGCGCGATTACATTCGGAGTACTCGTGAGTGCTCGCGCAAGTTTCTGATTGGATAAAGAGATTCGGAAACTCTTAAGGTCAATCCACGCGAAGATTTGCCAAAACTGGCACTTGCTCCCCGACTGTCATGTACATAAAGCTTACATTTCCACGTTCGAGGTTGTGCAAATGAAAGACCGTAACTGTATTACTGTGATTCTTCCACGACAAAATAGCTTTTCTTGCGATCGACCATGAAATATAAATGCCTCATCACATGTTCTTGTCACGTTTTTGACGTCATCTGTACATCTATTAGAGTACAGACACACGGCCAAATAGAAGCTATAGCTATTTGTTAAATAGATGATAGTGACAAGATAGCCAATCAGATCAGTACAGCATTCGAGATAGATAGTGAGTAGATTTCTACCAATAGCTCTCTGATCTAAGCCTTCGTTCACATTGTACCGGTACAGCTTGAATCCGTGCAAGTTTTACACCTGTTCACACTGTCCCGGTATTTTTTTTTTCATTTGAAATCATGCGCAGAATGCCCGAATCTTTAAAAATGGCGTCCCGGTACGAAAACGGAAACCGTTCAACCTGTTCACACCTTGCCTACAACTTGAGACCGTTACGGTCTGCTCCTGGAGCAGATACAAAAACTTACACGGATACTAAGGCGGTCCAAAACCTGTCCGGATAGCAGTTACAGTGTGAACAAAAGGCATATCCGTGCAAATTTTGTACCTGATCCAAAGTGGATCCGGTACAATGTGAACGTAGCCTAAAATAACCTTTACAACAACTTGTTAATTTTTTGACTGAGATCAATGATTAATTTGTTTCTGATGTGCAGTGATAGATGGGACAAACAAAATGTAAAACGTTCCTTTTTAAAACTGTGTTCAAGATTTTCTGCCCTATTTTGTTGAATGATTTGTTGTTGACACATTGTTGGGTAAATGTTATTATTTATTTTGCTTCAAATTGTGTTTCCATCAGGGTACCATAAATTATATAAATACCTTGTATCTTAACCGTGTGCAAGGTTATGAACCACATTTTTCCTCTTTGTTTAGAAATACATGTAGGGATACCATAACTTATGATATGGACAGAGCTAACACGGTTAAATACGAACTTATAATATGACTAAGTAATTCCGCACAATTACTACTATACCACAAAAGCTCCATTGCCCGTTCCGAAGTTCAAAAAGGGACTGGGCACTAGTTGACCCATTGTTCAAATTGCATCATATTAAGAAATGAATCCCATCACCAGAAAGAACGCATGAAAATGAGTAAGTTTACCAAGTTTGGGTATGTTATATTGCATAGTAACCAGGCTGTGAGCTGTCAATGGTCACCCAAATCCCATACAAATGTCTCTAATTCAGAGATGGCGTCCCCCAAATCCATACAGTCTCTAATTTTCTGACTTTTGAAGCTTTTAATGGTACAATCTAACGAAACAACCTCAAACTTGATAAACTGTCAGATTTTGTAATAAGATGAACTAATGTTTAGTCGTGCTTGAAAACTGAAATCGATTAAAAAACTCAGTTATGGTGAAAATGTTGTTTTATTTGTAAAAAGGTGATACAAAACTCGTTACAAATTTAAAACTTTTGAATGCAGAGTGCACAACGTAGAAATAAAACGCTTGGCCAGCGTGTTGTTTCTTGCCGGATCTCTTGTTTTAGAAATGCACGTGCCAGACGTCACTTGGAGTGTAACCGAACATGCACAACGGCAAAATGGCAGATTTATTGGCCGATATTTCGACTAGCAGAACTAGTCTTGGCCAGGGCTATAATTATGAAAGAGAATAACGGCTCTAGCTCCTAAAATTTGAATTGTAAATACATCTGACAAGTTAATGGTTAATTAGTAAAGATAACGTGCAAAATACAAATTTTTAAGAGAAAAGTATATAAACAGAAAAAATAAAAACAAAAATAAATCAAAAATAATTAGTCATCGTTTCCGTCGGTGATCTGGTGATAGAGTTTTGCCTCTATGTAAGATAAGCCTCCCTGGAACAGAGGGGGTGGGGGGATAGAAACTGGCCTTATAAATATACTTGGCCGTACGACATAGTGGTGCCGTACAACCGAGTGTGCGCAGTAGCACTCAAATAGTTGCTAAGGGTTGGAACTTATTAACAATAAAAAAGCACGCCAGGCAAGAAATTCACACCTAAAATTAGTATGCAAGATAATAAAAATGTGTTTTTCCTTGGTTGTTTTCGCTCGAAATGCGATCCAGAACGAAGACGTGTTCTTTTCGTTGTTGGCTGATTTCGCTTCGCCTCGTATATTACGATAAACAGTTTCATCTACTTCGCATCCGAAAGACTCTCGCTGTCACTCGCCTGCAAATGCGGCTCAGACGGATTTTTCGCTTATTGTTTCACGCTGCAGAAATATTTCTCGGCTGCGTGAAAGATATGAGGATCAGGCCAAAAACCCGCCTGAACTGCGTTTGTAGGCTACAAGCGTACAGCTCTGCGCTGCAGAAAGAAACAAGTTTTGGTTGACGCCATTCTTAGCAACGGCTTGGCTCCGCTATGTCTTCAAAGAAAAGTGCCGACTTTCTATCCCTCCTCCCCCCCCCCCCCCCCCCCCTCTTTCCGAAACGTCCTTTATATCCCCGTAATTTTGTTGATTGGCGTTCGAAGAAACTATCTGTGGAACTAACGTGGTGTAAGCGAAGAGCAATGCTGTAGGGGATGGACTTTTTTGTGTGATGTGGATGACCTGAGGAATGTAGCAAGTATTGGCGTTTATTTGTAGGCTTGCAAAAAGATCGGTTCTATTTTTCCACTCTTCTCGAGTAGAATATTAACGTGTGGGAACTGGATGGAATAGCAGTAGTTGATCACCCACTGGTAAATTTGATAGTGGGATAAATAAATAAAACTTAATAATAAAATTAATATTATATATGATTAAATGCGCTTTACAAAGTAAAAAGGCTAAAAACTGACAAATATACCTAAGATTATTACAATGATAATAAAATCCAAAAACAATAGTGTACAACGAAATATAAAATACAGTAAGACGTTAAAAATAGAATACTAAAATTATGTTAAAATGATGGGATGGATAGTGTTGAAGTACGTGATGAACTTCTCACGTTTTTCTTCTCCAAGTGTCCAAACCATAAATATACGATCTATGTATCTAAACCAAAGGTGGGGCTCGTCAACATAACCTTCCAGAGGCTCTTCTTTCAAATTCTCCAATAAACTGGAGGTTAGCCAATGCTGGTGCCATTCTAGTTCCCATTGCTGTGCCATGTTGTTGTATGAAATGTTCGTCGTTAGTCCAAATAGTGCTGTTGTGTAACAAACAGCACTATTTGGACTAACGACGTGTTTGTTGTAGTAATCTATGTAATAATGCTACACTAAGAACTAAAGCTGGTTCACTGGTAGTATTGCTTATGGACGCCCTCGGAGACGAGGTCCCCACGAGTCCCCTCGATGTCCCCTTGAGACCCCTCGATGTCCCCTTGAGTCCCCTCGATGTTGCCCTTGAGATCCGCCTGGCGTGGCGTCACCCTGGTTAGGAAGTCTCTTCCAGTGAAGGCACTTTAACATCTATAAGAAACAGAAAATAAACTGTATAAAATACGCCTCGCAAAAATAATTAATATTTGCCACCACACCAAAAACTAAAATGGGACTGCTAACAAATGCGTCGCAAAAAACGATCCTCAGGCGGTCAGGGAGTGTGGATTGTGGAGTATTCTAAAGGTGTTCTCAGCGTACAGTAGAATGCGCAGTGTATGAAGTTATGAAGTTATAGTGACTTTAATTAAGTTGCAATCATCTCCGGTAATGAGGTCACCAACACAGTATGGCGGTGTTTTTTTATATTTCTTCGCGTGCAACCCTAAACGATACCTTGATGGCTAAAAATATCGGCGTTTCATCCTTTACACCCTAAGTGAGACCAAATACGTAATTTAGACCCCTAAACGAGACGACGAGCCTCCCTTGTCACTTTTAAATGGGAGTCCCCCCCCCCCCCCCCCCCCAGCAAAGTCGCAACAAAATGATCGTGCCACAATGCATTGGAAACATAAATCTACATCATGAAGCATACTTGAAAATGTCTTGAAGTTGCAACGATGTTCTTAAAAGAAGCAAAGAATTCTGACTAATAAACGTTTGTTTTGGGGCAATTAAAACGCTACTTTGTGCTTTTAAAATGCAGAAAATCGAAAACACATTGACTTTAAAAAGATTTGTTCTCGCCACTTGTAAACAAGGGAGACGGCCAGGGCTTGAACCCGGACCGCTCTGATCCGGAGCTAGTCCAGCGCGCTAACCATTGGGCCACCGCCAGCATCCCATCCAGGGGGGGGGGGGGGGGGTGGGGGGAATAGCAACACTCCTAGTCGCGTCATGCTTCAGAAACCGGGATAGGCTCCGGCAGTTGTGGGCCACTAGGCTCGTGTTACCATGGCCAGCGTCCACTAAATGTAGTAACAAAGTAGAGACTGAATCTGCACCAATGCCATACAAGTTGAAAATATGGAAACATTTCGCTTGAAAGTGGCTTATGATGGCTTATAAAGAGTGCGAAGCATGTCTTGAAATAAATCATTTCCAGCGGCTGTAGCAGGCCCCCTCTATGTTTAGAGGGCAAAATTACTGAATGGTGATTGGTTGATAAAATAGGATATTTTATTCTTACTTTTCCTATCATCGATGGCAAATTTCTCGCTTACATGCTGATTTTTGAGTTGAAAATGGAAAATCTGGATGCACTAGAGACACCTGGTGGGTTTCGTCTAAGACATTTATTTTATAGCGGCCAAGATTCTTCGCATTAACTCAGTTACATACGCTTCATTCAAACTAAAGTAAAGAGCATAGAGTTTGTTCAAAGGCAAGGCCAGTATGCATTTAACGACAGCTACGGGGGAGAAGATCGATTGAATATGAAATTTACGTTACAAGTTTTTATCCACCTTGTGTTTCATTAAAATTTACAAATATAAAGAAATACTGACAATTGGCGGGTTTGGGATTTAATACTTTAGTTGCCTTTTGTTTGACAACAGATGAAAAAAAAAATGAAAAAAATAACCACACGTACATGATGCAATAACGTCCTCTTAAAATGTGCCGTAGCCTGCCAATTCTGCTGTATACAGTTGATTATTTACCCCTTACTTCACACTGGACCCACCGGCTGCCAGGCTAGAGGAGTCAACCCTTCTTCCGACTACTCCCGGTATGCGGCCTACTATTACAAAGCATTTTGAGAGGGCTGTATAATAGATGATTTCTTAGTATTGCACTGCGCATCGTTACTGCGCATATTTCGCGCGTAATTTAAGAGTGCGCACATTAAGAACATGGCGGCTTTTTCGTTGCAGCTAAGCTCTCTCGAGAGATGAAAGGTAGTTTGTCTCGTAAACACGAGCATGGTGACCTATCTTACGTCGAGAAATCATTTTCCTGGTATAGAATGCGTACAGACCAACTTCCATTTCAGAAAAATAAATAATCATTGGAAACGTAAACTTGCGTATCACTCGTGAGGACATAATTGTGGCTCGAGAGCACTGATGCACACGAGGAAGATACCGTTTGCAGGTATGTTCTTTTATCATGAAACGCATATTAAATTGTTCCTTGGGGTCTGTGCAGTACGAAAAAATATCTTATACTATTTCAAGTTTTGCTTTCTTCATGTGTTTTCTACCTTCACGAACGAAACATGGGGTGAACGGCTTAGATAAACACGTCTCTTGTGGATGATATTGCAAGCAATTACGAGGCACTTAACTTTCGTGGGCATGGTGACCTATTCTTTTTAAGCCCTCACGAGCCTAGTGGCCAACAATTGCTAGGTGCTTAATTATGAAGCGACTTGGAGTATTGTTACCCCCCCCCCCCCCCCCCCTGGATGGGATGCTAGTCCATACAGGATTACCCCCTTAGAATTTTGTTACGTTGCCCTAACAATCTTTTTAGTTTTAGTTAATCAGTTTCTGATCGAGTATTTTTAATCTACCTAATTTTTATGCTGGTACGTCCTATTGGGGTTAACCACATGTTTGTCTGGCGTTATTCAGTAGTTATATATTGTTCACTGTGTTCCCTTGCGTCAGTTCTTCCGATTCCAATATAAACGCTTAACTACACTCACCTTTTTTAACTTTTGGCGTTTTACTCTTTGGGTAGGTTGCAATTAATCCATGGTGGCCTTGGAGATAAATTTTTAATTCTGCTGGGAATGGCGTCCCCACCTCCAGCTGCCACAGCTGTTTTTGTAAGTGTTTGGGCATGGCATCTTTGTTTGAATAAACGCTTAAACCTGTTGTAAAATGTGAGAGAATAAAGTAGAATTACCTACTGTAGATCCGTTTTTCAAAAATAATGACGTACTTATGACAAATTATTGCTTCTTATCATTCGTTATCTGACCTTATAATGCACGTGTCCCTAAATTTTACTTTTACGTGCGCCATATATAATTATGTTATATAGACACAAGTGTTTTACTGCGGTAATAGACCACTCTGCGTAAACTTCATACGAAGCTACATCCGGGACCGCCTAGTGGTAGTTCCTTGTTTTTGTTGCGTAGTTTTCCGTTTTTCCAAATCCTCACTAGTCAAGGATATCGATGACGTCATTTCTCGCTGTTTGCACGGGTTGTTTTCTTATTTAACTTTGAATTAGTGCGCTCGTTCGTAAAATATTGTTTTTACCACTCCAAAATAAAATTCATATCTTTACGACTGCCGTGTAATACTACTATATCTACAACTGATATATATTAATCTGGCCTTGATAGTCTACAAAGTTGCTATTCGTTGTCCCTGCCTACAAGAAAGCAGTTAGTAATTATTGGTTCATGAATGCGTTTGGAAAATCTAGCGCACTAGTCCCTCGCAGCAAATCAGGGCCCGGTTTTTTCGACCCCCCCTCCCCCCCCAGACCGATTATATTAACGCCCCTAATCACTGATTAAAAGTTAATGCAAAGCTTTTCAATTTCGCTTCTATAAAAAGATGTTATTTCTCGGCTAATGTTTTTGTAAACTTTGATAATTTAGTCAAAGGTCAAAACTGAAAGCGACAAAAAATCAGAAGAGAAAACAGAAAACCTCACTGAAAAGCGTACCAAACCTGAAATAGAATACGCCTCTAATCCTTGCGATTAGCGTGTAATCGTCCTTTGAACAAAGAGGATGGCCGGCTAGCCCACGCATAAACAAAAAAAAAAAAAAAAAATCAAAAAAATGGATGGAGAAGACGCACAAATGGAACGCCAAACAATTTCCCGTTCCGGCACTGCGGAGGCTTTCTTCAAGAGTTCCGTTTTAAATTCAGGAAATTTTTCGGTCGGTCCCTAAATCAAATTAGTCCTTTCTAATTTACACTTCCATTCAATCGAAAATTTCCGAAATGATTTTGTAAATGAGGTTAACAGTCTCTGTCTGTGTTCTAAACAAACGAGTTTTGCAAACTTTCTGACGTCAAAACTGTTACAATGCCGATCTCTGGCACACCAGTTCCCAGAAACGTAAATTTGTCCTGTTTTGGCAACTTTTCCAAATAAATTACGTTTCGATGTCAATCCTGGAACATCATTTTCAAGTTTGAAAATTAATGGTTTAATTGGCCCATCCCGCTAATGTAATATGCCCTAATATGAAGTGAGCAATACATTGCATGTGATAAACAATATAAATAATAAATGTGGCTCAACAGTTCAGAATAGAGATTAGAAATAAACAACGTTTTACAGGTGTTTTTAATTATAAGCAAGAGCTGTCAAACATAAGAGCTACTGGCGCGAATATATAGAGTCTGATTGCATGTTTCCCCTCGGGTACGAACACACACCGCTCATAAAAGTACTTGTAGCTCCCTAACCCCAATATTGCTTTGACAACTATCACTGTAGTTCACGAATTTTAGAGTCGGTAAGGCGGCCTGTCCAATTCTTTTATGTAGGTAAAGCTAAATTCGCTCTTTTTGGAGGCACTAGCGATAAGCTTCCGAAAAGCTCTCTTCTCTCTTGGAATGGTAATCAGGTTTATACACAGGAACAAATATCTGCTAGATTGGTATATGACAAATTAATAGGTTGTGCAGCTAATTAAAATAGAAGTCAAGCTTGCATTGAATTTCTGGTTTCCTCCGGCGTCCATGTCAGTAGTATCTGAGTTACCGTTTAAGGCCGACGTTCAGTGTTACTTCTCGATATCTACTGTCTTCAGCTATTCCTGACATGATTACTTAGCACAAAGCGTTTTGGTGCGGTCTATGGGTTCTTATGGCGAAGGCCGGCCTTCTTATCTTCTCCGACTTCACAGCTGACGAGGTTGAAATCGTCCGGTCCAAGATTGTTTCTCATCACATGCGATTGCTGAAAAAATTCGTGTAAGTGTATCACAATAAAGAATTGGCTTTAACAAGTTTTTGGGTCGTCTTCTAATGTTATTAGAATGCGTAGAATATTTGCTAAAAAAAAAAAAAAAAAGGGTGAATAATTTTTCGGGGTTCACAAGCTATTTTTTAACTCGTCCAGATTTTTAACTTTAATGGGCCCCAATAACGCATTATTTAATTCCGCAAAAACACCAGTAGACAGGAGGGGAAAGATTGGGACAGAGCAGGAAGAGAAGATAGAAAAATGATTATGTTTTCTCTCCCAAAAAAAATCTTTCGTCCGCCGGCGATTCTCGCAGGCTTACCGGCTTCAGCCGCTTGCTTGAGCTGTTCAAGGCCCTACAGTAAGGAAACATAACTACATTGATCTCTCAAAAAGTTTTTTTTTTTGGACCGACATATGGCGGCCAGGCCGTATTGATTAGACATATATGGGTAATATTGGATGAGTGGGGTAATAGGTTAATAGACAACTAGTGCAGCTACTATAGGCTACTGGGGCCAATTCCGGCGCAAATTTCGGCTTGAAACACTTTTCGAAAACTTGAAGATGTTTGATCCTTGCTAACTACTTTTCAAATGGGTTTTTCACACCCCTTCCCCTCTCGCTCAATGTTGGGCAACAGCACAAAATACATCTCATGTAGAAGTTCTTAAA